CACCATACAAAGTATTTATGACAACTGCATATGAATTCACTGAGTATCTTTGTGTGTTTTCAGATGGCTGATGCTATGGAGATGATGATCCTCAGCATCTTAGCTCCACAGCTCCACTGTGAATGGAGACTGCCCAGCCTGGAAGTGGCACTGCTTACATCGGTAATGTCTCTCTTATGTCTGTGAAAGTCCTCCTCTTGCAGTGCAATATGACCGTCCTGTCAGTTATTGATCGAGTTCCCAGGGATGATTTTGTGCTTGGATTAAAACGGAGCCAGCAAATGGAGAAGAAAATGAGACCTGAGCACACTTCAGATATGTGCTGAATCTTTGCAACCTTAATGAATCTGAAAGTCATATTTAGAGTCAGAGTGAAATACAGAATATCATTCAAACAAGGAAATTAAGGTTCACTTACTAAAGACACTAAACATTCACATTTTGGTGGCTCAACCAAAACCAAATACTACCAACAGTTTAAAAACAGTGTATAAGAGGATGCGCATGCTATGTCAGAAAACTTTTGGCTGCAATCTGACTGGGACTTGATTTTTTTCAGTTATTTTTTTTTCTTCTTGATACAGGCAGTCTTCATCGGGATGATGATCAGCTCTTCTCTTTGGGGGAACATATCTGACAAATACGGCAGAAAGACAGTAAGTTTTTGATAGCATTCAGTCAGAGGTCCAAATGATTTACAGAGTTAGGGTTTCTTAGTACATACTAGACAACAGGAGTGAGCCGCTTCATTATGCCAGAGTGAGATTTTGCTTATTTATTTATTTAGCAGTGTATTATGTCTTGATTGTATACACATGCAGGGTCTGAAGCTGAGTGTTCTGTGGACGATGTTCTACGGCCTGATGAGTGCTTTTGCACCTATTTACGGCTGGATCCTTGTCCTCCGTGCACTGGTGGGCTTCGGCATTGGAGGGGCACCTCAGTCGTGAGTAACCCTTCATCTTGAAAAAACAAAGCAAAAAAAACCAATCAAATTGTAATGTGTGGCGATTGGGTTCATAATAAAGTGCCTCTTTTTGTAAGGGTGACACTGTATGCTGAGTTTCTGCCTATGAAGTCCAGAGCCACATGCATCTTGCTTATTGAGGTATGGAGTGCACAAATCTTATATCATTTCAGCACTTAAACCTTCTCAGCCCTAAAACCTGCATTTGCTGCTGTCCTAGATATTTTGGGCACTGGGCACTGTATTTGAGGTCCTCTTAGCGATCCTGGTGATGCCCACTCTGGGCTGGCGCTGGCTGCTCGGACTTTCTACCATTCCTCTCTTCATTTTTGCCATTCTGTGCTTTGTAAGTATGTTAGCAGTCTTGAGCTGTTCTACAATTTGAAGCATGATAGATTACAGCTTTATCAACCTAATTTTTCTTTTGTTTTTTGGTGGGTGGGAGCAGTGGCTGCCAGAGAGTGCTCGATACGACGTGCTGACCGGGAATCAGGAAAAGGCTCTGAACACACTGAAACGCATTGCCACTGAGAACGGAGCACCCATGCCACTGGGAAAACTGATTGCTGCCAGACAGGTGCGGCGTGCATCTGCAAAAACTCTATATGCTTTGTGTACATTAAGTACCCTCTATCATACTGCCAATTGTGTTCTGAGGGTTTTTTTTATGGCTGTTTTTTTTTTTTATTAGGAAGATCGTGGGAAGATTCGAGACTTATTTTCATCTCACTTCCGCTGGACCACAGTCCTGCTGTGGTTTATTTGGTAAATTAGCAATTGATAATGTCTTCCTCTTTCTCGAAAACCTCGCGTTTTCATTGTCCAGTGATTTACCTAAAGCAAATCTGCATGAATTGATCTGTGTCTCTTCCTGCAGGTTTGCGAATGCTTTCTCTTACTATGGGCTGGTGCTGCTCACCACAGAGCTGTTTCAGGAGGGAGGCGCATGTGGAAGTGAGTCAGATGCTGATAGAGGGCCTCACACACTTTATGGTGGTTATGTTTTTGCAAAAAGCATCACAGACAGTAGGCTGAGTGCTGGATTTGAAGCATCCTGTTTGGTGTAACTCCCTCTAGTGTCCAAAGGTAATAAGGAGGAGCTCCGATGCAGCTTAGAGTGTAAATACCTGAATTCTGACGACTACAAAGACCTGCTGTGGACTACGTTATCTGAATTCCCAGGTACACATCGCAAAGCTCTCATAAATTTGTTGTTCAATATATTAAAAACGGTGCAAATTCTGCTCTAAATTATGCACAAATATGACCACCTGCTGGTTATTATGCATTAATATAAACGCCTCCTCTCTTCTTGCTTCAATTATTGTTCTATTGTTGTTGTTTTTTCATACACTCATGCAGGCACTCATTCTGGTGTCTCAATATGATTGGCTGCACCTGCATTTTTTCTACTACGTGAGAGTATGCAGTTTGATTTAGGGGTCTGAGTATGCTGATGTTGTACAGGACTGCTGGTGACGCTGTGGGCTATCGATCGATTGGGAAGGAGGAAGACCATGGCACTGTGTTTCTTCGTTTTCTCTATGT